AAGTTTCTACACTTGGAAATATTCAACGTGATAGTTTAATTAATTGAAATTTATTTATTAGGATTGATTTTTATTGAAAATGAACTTAACTGACGAAAACGTCTGTAGGTCGGCGAGGTCTCCGACTCTGTTGTTTTCCTTCAGGACTCATTCAGAAGAGTTTGTGGACGAGGAAGACGATGATGACGACCTCTACATTCCAAATCCACAAACCACCATAGATTTCATTGACGATCTGGACCACCAGTTGCTAGATGCCGTCGACAGCGGTACATTCACCACAACCGCTGCTAGCGACCACGGCTCTGATGGCTACGTTAATTCCATGAATTTCAGTCACAACCCCTTCTGTCCCTCTCTCACCTATCATCCTGATCTCTCCTTATCGACGCCAAGCAGTGCTGCATCTTCAAATAGGGTGGATTTCCCTGTCAGTAACAACATCATCAACAAGCTCTCCGGCAATGAAAATAAGTTAAGAACATTCCCGGCCTGACATTTCTCTCTTCAATTCGTTTGATCGGCTTCCATTATTTAAAAATTTGTTTCTTAACTTACTTTTTTATTTTATCCTCCAGTGCCCTAGAGCTAAAATTTCATATTTAAAATAATAAAATTCGCAAAGTTTCAACGTATATCGTAAGAACGTTTTTGAATATCGACGTTAACAGACACGTTTAAGAAGATACTTTCATCGCTTTTTCATATGGAGGATTGTTGTTGTTTGGTGCAGTTTGGCAGATGACACGCATTTCATCAAATGACTATTAAACACTCTTCTAAGTATATAAAACTTTTAAAGCAACCAGCTTGAAAGATTTGCCTGACTAAGAAAAAGATAAGGTTTATGGGTTTATGATTGTTCTGTCATTGATATAACATTTTCATAACTCGTATCAACATGTTTTGCATTGAAGTGCATTAAAGTTACATTGCTATCTGGCGTGGGAAGTTTTAAACACCCCTGACGACGTCGCCCTGTTTTAAAGACTTGAATACATTGAGATGTGATTACATAAGAGGTCTAATGATCTAAGTGACATTTCTTTGAGTGGTCCACGTACAGTTTGCTGTTCGTAGAAAAATACAGTTTATACCCTACATTCCGTGAAAAACTCAACAAACATTTTCTGTTGTAAAAGAAATTTTAAAAAAACTATATTGCGATGATTTGTAAACCTTCATTAAATCATTGAAGTGATTGATCATGAAGATTAAACACACAAAGAGCAAACGAAAATGACTAATTATGTAACTATTAATAAAATAAAACACAGATTTCCACATAATACGATAATTTAATGAATATAAAATTAAGTTGCAATTGTATATATAAAAAATCAAACTGCTTGCAAATAAGTTTTATTGGTTTTAGGACATTTGTAATATGACAGCAATTTCTGAAAAATAAAATCTTCAAGATGTTTTAAAATAATACAAAAACCAACAAATTTTTACCATATTTCACTTATTTATTTAAACTATCTTCTTTTTAGACTATTTTTCACATAAAATAATGATAAAAGTAACCTAATTAATTATTACTTCAACCATTTCAGAGAATACAAATATTTTAATAAAAAAATGATTTGTATTTGGTAGGTGATTAAAAATGCTACTAAACCTTTGCCTAAAATTTTCAGTTAAAAGTGCCAGTAATAAAATAAATACGTACAGCACGTTTTACCTGTAAATGATTAGTTGACGATAAATTAGTTTTGTGTTCAATAAGTTAAAAATCTTTAGCATATTAATAAAATTCTGTAAGCGTACTTCAATTATCTTACGTTATCTCGCTTCTGATCGTT